GCACGGCGGCGCGCCCGGCGGCGGCCCCGGCAGCGGCAGCGGCCGCCGCGGCTTCCGCCGCGGCTACGACGCCAACGGCGGCCCCGGCGCCCTGCCCTCCGCCGACGACTTCAGCATCGACAGCCTGGTGGCGCTGGTGGGCGGCACCCCCGCCTCCCAGCCCATCACCGACGCCGTCTACCAGGCCCTGTTCCAGCTGGACGGCCGCTCCTGCGCCCTGCTGCTCAAAGACCTGTCCAAGGCGGGCATGCAGTTCAGGTGCGGGGCGGGGCAGGGCAGCGCGGGGCGCCGCCGCCGACGCCGACGACGCCACACGGCCAAGCACCTGCGCGGCGGTGCCGGCGGTGCATGCCCTGCGGTGCCCTGCTGCTGTGCCTCCCTGCGCCTCCCCGCCGCTGCTGCTGCCTGTCCACCTCGGCAACCGCCTTCTGCACACCGTGCACACACGCGCGCACGCACGCACGCACGCACGCACACACACACACTCGCCCAAACAGACGCGGTCGACACACACACTCACCCACATGGTCGCCTACGCCTGCCGCAGGGCCACGGAGCTGTTTGACTGGATCCGCGCGCTGGACGAGGGCCACCCGCTGCAGTCGCTGCTGGACGTCTACTCGTACACAGCCATGATCTCGCTCTGCATCACCGAGCACGACGTGGACCGCGCGCTCAAGGTGCGCACGCCTGGGGGTGGGCCTGGGCTGGGGCTGCCGCAGGGGCAGGGCACGGCAGGGCAGGGCAGGGGCGCTGCCCGCCCGGCCCGCCCTCGCCACGCCCTCCCACCCGGCCTGCCCTGCCACCCGCCATTCCGTCCCACCCGGCTTCCGTTCCCACCCGGCCTGCCCCCTCACCCGACGTGCCCCCTCCCACCTGCCCCCCTGCCCGCAGCTGGCCGGCGAGATGAAGTCCAAGGGCATCGAGCGCAATGTGCACACCTACACGGCGCTCATGAATGTCTGCATCAAGTGATCCAAGCACTCGCTGGCCCTGGAGACGTACAAGCTGATGCGGCAGGACGCGTGCGTGCCCAACGTGGTCACAT